ATATAATATTTCATACTGAAGTGGTTGGAGATGCATGATCCATTAACTAAAACTTTGAGTGACCAATTACAATATTGAGACTATGTACTTGAATGGGTTGTATTTGTAGTGGATGTTGGATTGAAAAATATTTTATATGTGAGAAATTATTAGGTATGGACATTGTAAGTAAAGCAACTCATGGATAAACTAGAGTACATAGTTGGTACTCTGATAAATTCGAATATTGAGTTGTGAAAAATAATGTAGGAGAAATTTTAATGTTACCGGAGTACACAACTCCATTTTTTGTAAGAGATTGAAACAATTGTTTTCTCTAAAAAAGAAAGAGTACATAGATGTGTACTCCGGTATATCCACACGTATCTTTACATATGTTGTCCTGACCTAATGATTTCTCTTCATGTATAGGCTACAATTTTATTGTTTTGAGGTTTGTGGACTTGTTATTTCTTTGGAGCTTCATATGATGAGGATAAATAAGTTGGAGGAGCAAAAGGATCGCTCTCAATGACCTTCTGTTTGTTACATAATTAAGCCTTAAAAAATTCTGTTTAAATTTAGTTATATTGACCCAAAATTATATATCGCAACATTGAAGATGTGAATAGACAAAACTAGGGAAATGAAGGGTTTTTTGGAAGATCATTTTAACGATGACATTATGTATGAACAAACTGAGAAGCTGATGAAATATTTTCTTCCAAGTTTAGCTTATCTAAATAGTTGGAAGTCATCATCATCAAGTGATATTGTCAAGAATTTATGTTTTATATATTTTTAATTTTTTTGTGTTATTGGACTTTATGCATTTTATTTTTGTATTGCCATATGATGGAAAACAACCAATAATCATGTTGAGTTCGGTGCTCTTGGGTTGGCTCATACCATTGAATTTTCATGTGTTTGATCTCGTTTCCTTGCTCCTTGTTGGCTAGTTGGGTATTTAGTTGTGGGCTATTTTTTTCCTTATTGGGCTTGACCCATTTTTCCCTTTGCTTTATGACTGCTTGGGATTTTTCCTCTCCCTTCTGCATTTCCCTTTTCTTTATGGTTGCTTGGTATTCTTCCCTTCTCCCTTTGCTATTCAGTTTTCCCCTTTTGCTGATTCCCATGCTTGTTGCTTTGACTTCTCCTTTGAGAGCTGATTTGAATTGCTTTTATTGGCTAACTTGTTGACTCATTTAATTGAACAATTAAATATTCTTTCCCCTCCTTCCCCTATATAAAATGGCCGATTCTTTATTGTTAAAAGGAGTTTTTTGGTGGAAAATTCCAACATGAGGGTTCCTTCATGGCTTGCTATTCCAACATGAGGGTTCCTTCATGGCTTGCTATTTCCTTGCTAAAAAGGAGTCTTCTCCCTATTCCCTATTACTTTCTCTCGATCTTCTTTCTGCTTCTTCCCTCCACGGTTTCCCTTCCACCTATATCTTTCTTCTCTAAACTTTGTGAGTTGTGAGGCGGTGTTGTTACCTTGTTCTATTGGTATTTGCCTGAGGAGTGCAGACTGGTGGCGGATCAAATTTCAATGGTGGATTATGATAGGAAACACTTGAGTTCCCAAGTGTTTCTCACCAAAACTGAAGTTGATCCGATGGAAACTGCTGTCCACAGCAGAAATACAGAAGAAATCTGCTGTTTACAGCAGAAAAACAGCAAAACCACAAGGAAATCTGAGAGAAAACTCAAAGAAAAGCTTGTATTCCACTAGTTGATGAATAAAATAGCAAGATACAATTGATCCTCAATTCGAGAGGAGGATCGTTCTCTCCCAAATCTCTAACTGGTTAGATCTTTCCTTTGAGCACCTTTCCCTAGTTTTATGTATTGCATGTGAGGTGACAATTTGTGATTTTTCTAAGTTTTATTATTGTTTAAGTGCTTTGAAAATTTCTTTTTTACGTGATTTTTTAATCAATTTCTTACGTTTGTTTCTACCAAGTTAATTTATGCTTATATTTGTGTTATTGAAAGGCAGTTGTTTTTTTTAATTGCGTGCCTAAGTGTTGTCCAAAAGGTTTAGGATTTTAGATTGCATCATCAAGGGAAGCCATATTTCCTTGAACTGCTTTTATTGTATATCAAGGAAGAGATTGTGACGATGGTGATCATTAGGAAGAGAGTAAAAACCTGAAATAGTTTTTCGACTATTAATAAATGTTAAATTTAGTCTCAAACTTTCATAATGCCCCAAATTCAAGATACTCAAACCCTAGGAAAATCAACTATTTAATGCATACAAATCAAAAGGAATTCCCTAAACAATCCCTACATTCAAATTTCCTTCCCTCTTAACTCCCCAAAATTTCTTTCCTATTTGGCTCCCGCACACCGTGCGGCTCGCTCTGCATCCTAGCGGGCAGAGGATTTCCGCCCTGTTCGCGTATGAGCCGGTCCCGCCTGGACCGGCTAGACTGTTCTAACAGATTATTGGTTAGATCTTTCCTTTGAGCACTTTTCCTTAGTTTTGTGTATTGCATGTGAGGTGACCATTTATGGTTTTTCTAAGTTTTATTATTGTTTAAGTGCTTTGAAAATTTCTTTTTTATGGGATTTTCTAATCAGTTTCTTACGTTTGTTTCTACCAAGTTAATTTATGCTTATATTTGTGTTATTGAAAGGAAGTTGTTTTTTTTTAATTGCGTGCCTAAGTGTTCTCCAAAAGGTTTAGGATTTTAGGTTGCATCATCAAGGGTAGCCATATTTCCTTGAACTGCTTTTATTGTATATCAAGGAAGAGATTGTGACGATGGTGATCATTAGGAAGAGAGTAAAAACCTGAAATAGTTTTTCGACTATTAATAAATGTTAAAATTAGTCTCAAAATTTCATAATGCCCCAATTTAGTACTCCCGAATTATAGAAAATATCTTAATTTGGTTTCGAGGCCAAAATTAATAGTTAAAGTTAACCCCAATAGTTAAATTTGAAGTTATTTTGAATATTATGGTGTATGTGATATTAAATTATTATTATTATATATTTTGTCTTTTATCATATTAAAATAAATATAAAATCATAATGAAAGTTAACCACATTTATTAATTATTTACTCTTGTTATTTAGATTTGGTTTTGAGGCCAAAATTAACAGTTAAAGTTAACCTCAATAGTTAAATTTGAAGTTATTTTGAATATTATGGTGTATGTGATATTAAATTATTATTATTATATATTTTGTCATTTATCATATGAAAATAAATTTAAAATCATAATGAAAGTTAACCACATTTATTAATTATTTACTCTTGTTATTTAGTTGGTTAACTTTTATTATGCATGATAAATAACAAAAAATAACAAAAAATAATATAATCCTACATACATTATAATACCAAAAATGCCCTCTAATTTAATTTTTGAATTAATTTTTAACTGTTATTTTTAACCTTGAAACTAAATTGGGATATTTTCTAATAATCCGGGGACTAAATTGGGTCATGATAAAAGTTTGAGACTAAATTTGAAATTTACGAATAGTCTGGTGACTATTTTGGGCTTCTACTCAGTAGGAAGAAGAAAAGGATATGATGAATCTGTCTTGGAGATGGAGATTTTGTGAATGAAATAGAGGATGATGATTTTTTATTCCTTAATTATATCTTTGATCATTTATGATGATAGATAACTACTTTTGGTTTTGTTTATGTAAGTTAAATTTTGGCTTTATAGTGTGGGTGTGAATGTATGTTCTTTAAGTTTGATATGCTTTGTTATCTGCAGCTCTACATTTTATGATTTTCTTTGTAAAATATGTTTTATTTGTATGAATTAACTTGTAAAATTTGCAGGTTGAATCTTTATGCGGTCTTGATAATATGCATGTGCCACAACTTTTTTTTAAAAAATAGTCCTCATCCTTATGTATTGTTGTTAGTTTTTTTTTTCAATTGGTTCTGAGCTAATTTATTAAACATAAGCACATGTTTTGAATGTATCCATGTTTATTAATGATATTGTGTTATTTTGTTTGCTGAAATAAAAACGAGTTTATACCAAATAGTAGTAAACAAAATTGAATTGAGTATACTTTAGTTAGCTGTCCCGGAATAGTTTAGAATCGGCTATTTATGATGATGATGATTTTATGTGTTGAAAATGGGTACTTGATGCGGCTCAAATTTACTCAGCCAAGTGGTTCTTTTACACAATCAATATATATGCATAGATGAGATACAAATCTTGAGTGTTTTAGGGCTTGTGTGGTATTACTTTTGTTTTAGTTTTTTTTTTAAAGATCATGTTTGTTTAGTTTATTTGTTAATTGTTTTATTTATTTTATTTTTGTTTTTAATAATTAATCTAGTTATTTTAAAAATTATTGAAGACAAGTTTTTAGATGTTTTAAGTGTTCTCAAAAATAAATCATCACTGCCAACCACCGCCATCGCTATTATTGCAATTGCCTCTGCTGGCGACCATTGCTCTTTGTTGCTACTGGCAATCATTGTCGCTGCAATCACCTCACCATTTGCCGTCTTTTTGCCCCGTCGGTAGCCTACTACAACTACATTAATAAACAAAATCAATATATTTTTGAGATATAAAAAATGTTTTATTTCATTGCAAAACAAAAAATATTAATAAAAAATAAAAATAAAAAATAACCTCAAATGGCCCATTAGTTAGCAGAAGTTCTGGTACACTTTGTGCTTTGCACTAATGTCTTTGCATGGTATATTGTGCTTTGCAAACATTGCTAGTAGCCTGTTTATAATCAATGTACTGTGGTTTTTGTTTTACATTGCAAAATGATTTGTTCTCATGTTTCATTGCTGGCATTGATTTTGTTGAGTATTTGTCCAACTGATTTGTATGTTACTCTTGCTGCTAATTGCATGGTATTGTGTTGCAGTGCAAATGGAGCACTTAATTGTTTTTTATTATTTCCAGTTAGTTTGTAGTTAAACCAGTCTTTCGTTTGGTTATTTTGAATAATTTTTGTGATTCTCCTAGTATTAGTTGAAAGTGAGGTTAAAAATTTGTCTCCTTTTGAAGGAAATAGGTGAACGTGAAGGAAAGTACTATGCCATTAATATCCCACTTAAGGATGGAATTGATGATGCAAGTTTTACAAGACTATTTAAAACGGTAAAACTTGTTTTATTTATTTAATTGATGCGTCCTTTAAGAAATTGCTATTATTTGTAACTGTTGATGTAAATTTCCTCACAGTATTTCAGTTATGTAGATTATTGCCAAAGTTGTTGAAACATATATACCAGGTGTTATTATTCTCCAATGTGGTGCTGATTCTCTTGCTGGAGATCGTTTGGGCTGCTTCAACCTTTCTATTGAAGGTCTTCTCTTTCTCCTGTCCTATTTCTAGGACCCGTAATTTTTTTTTCCTACAGATGCAGCTTATGTCCAATGTAAAAGCTATGTCAACATGTTAGAACGCAAATTTCATGATATAATCTTTTGCTTTTTCATTAAAAAATTAAAAAAAGAAAAATTGTGAATTACTATAGTTGATCTGAAACTCTAAAGTTTTGATTTTTTATCCTGAAGACAGCAGCATCGATTAGCAAATTTTGTTGGCCTCAAAATTACACATTTTGTGAATGATCTGGCATATAATTGTTTTTTTTTTTGGTACCATATTATTTTCAGGTCATGCTGAATGTGTGAAGTTTGTGAAGAAATTTAACCTGCCTTTGTTGGTGAGTCTTGCTAGGTGAAGTTACTCTTTCAATTTTATGAGAATTTAATGTCCAATAAATGTTTTTTTTTTTTCATGAAGGTGACTGGTGGTGGGGGTTATACAAAAGAAAATGTAGCTCGCTGCTGGACTGTTGAAACTAGCGTTCTATTAGATACTGAACTTCCAAACGGTATGCTGCATTTTCCATCTGCCATATTTGTAAATGAGTTGTGACGGAAATCTCTTAAAAGATACACTGATAATGAACTGAATGCATCCCAATCATCCTCAAATTTGCATGGCAGTCTACTATGCCCTGCTGAGGTGTGCTTCTTTAGCATTTAATGGACATTAGATAAAGGTTCATACTCGGGTGAGTTGTCTGTTTTATGGTGCAATGACTTAGCGGAATCCAAATAATGGGAATAAGGTTAATTTGCCTAAGAATAGGTTTTCAGTCAAGTAGCCTATATTTTCTATTTCATGTCTGTTTTATATCCAACCCGTTTGATACTATTTTGAATTCCTATTCAATTGGATAATTTAGTTTTTCTTTAGTTATTCATATGCAGCATTGCTTTTAACAGGGCTTTATGCTAGATTAGGAATGCGCTTTATACTTGGGTGGATAAATGTGCTGCACATTTATGATGCGAAGATAGAGATGATGGGGGTTGGCTACTTGCTAATGCCAAGATGTACTTTTGGTACATGCCTATTTGTCCATATGGGTGCTTTTTCCTAGGTTTTTAATTGCTTTTTGGGAACTCACCAAGCCAAGCTAAGATGATTAGTTTTTATTTTTGGGAAGTATGTTATCCTAGGTGGGGGTCACGCAGGATCACTACCTATGAAAACCTTATCCAAGAAAAAAGAGAGCCGGAAGCCCAACCTCCAAGAGGATGGATCCCCCAAGAAGGATTATGGTAGAAAAGGAAAAATAAATAGGAGGGGCCATGGTTTAAAATTGTGTAGTACGAGCATGCCTCATTGGGTGTTATGTATGGCATATGCCTCACATGAAGTGAGGAGCACCTCAAGGTGTGCCTTGCCTCTGTTTTGATGAGATTTGAGCAATTTAGAGCTGGATATATATATAAAAATCTATATAAAGTAAAATAAATTGATTAAACATTTGTACTTGCCCAAGTGCTGAAGAGTTTAAAATAAAAAAAGAGGCGAAATAATTGAATAAAAAAATCAAAGAGATTTATCTCTTAAGGATTCAAATCCAACCCCACTGCATATAGTTTTATGCTCAAACGATGCAGCTCTTCGCCACAATAACTGCCTTTGAAAATTAGTCGATAAAAAGACAATGAAATAAAAAAAAAACTTGCGCCCGGCTCTCGTTCGTTTCGTCTCTCTTCCATCCACGAGCTAGTTTTGTTCACAAGTAGGCCTCCTGTTCGCAAGCCCGCTCCAATCACGAGCTAACCTTCGATTGAACAGTCTGTCTCCTCATGTCGGATTTGCGACTTCTAGTTCGCACGCTGTCCAAGCCTCCTCCCTCACGTGAATCATGCGGTCAACCTCCACCCGTGACTCCCTTTCCGACGACGTGCGTCTCTCAGCACGCACGGCTATTGCATACCCTCATCCACTCCAACCGCGTTTAGCCTATTGCTCGCTCCGATCGAACCCACACGACAATCCTCCTCCCTTCGATTCCACTTCGACCGAACCTTTCCGATCGCACGCGTGGGCGATCTGCGATCACTTCGACATTTGGCTTCCAGTTTGCGAACCTTCGCTCTCAGCCTCCGCCTCCCGTGAGTTCGTATAACTGCATCATTTCTCTTGGAAAATTAACTCGCATATCTTGCGCACGCCTATCTTTATTCGCCCAACTGTTTGCAATTGAAGCCATTGATTTATCTCTTAAGGATTCAAATCCAACCCCACTGCATACAGTTTTATGCTCAAACGATGCAGCTCTTCGCCACAATAACTGCCTTTGAAAATTAGTCGATAAAAAGTCAATGAAAAAAAAAAAAAAAAAAACTTGCGCTCGGCTCTCGTTCATTTCGTCTCTCTTCCCATCCACGAGCTAGTTTTATTCACAAGCAGGCCTCCTATTCGCAAGCCCGCTCCAATCACGAGCTAACCTTCGATTGAACAGTCTGCCTGCTCACGCCGGATTTGCGACTTCTAGTTTGCACGTCGTCTAAACCTCCTCTCTCACGTGAATCATGCGGTTAACCTCCACCCGTGACTCCCTTTCCGACGACGTGCGTCTCTCACGCGCACGCACGCCTATTGCATACCCTCCTCCACTCCAACCGCGTTTAGCCCATTGCTCGCTCCGATCGAACCCACACGACAAGCCTCCTCCCTTCGATTCCACTTCGACCGAACCCTTCCGATCGCACGCGTGGGCGATCTGCGATCACTTCGACATTTGGCTTCCTGTTCGCGAACCTTCGCTTGCAGCCTCCGCCTCCCATGAGTTCGTTCTCTTGGAAAATTAACTCGCCTATCTCGCGCACGCCTATCCCTATTCGCCCAACTGTTTGCAATTGAAGCCATTGTTTTAGTTTACAATAGTAGTTCTATCTTAGGAAGACACCCCCCCTAGCTCCGCTTATGCACATGGTACACAACAAAAAAGTAACATGGCGCGTCCTGATTCACCTCCGGATGTCGTCCGATGACAACACAATAATTTCTCGGAAGGGGGAAGGGGGAAGAGGGAAGATGGAGTGATATATTGGGGTGTTAGGTTTATTCTTTTAATTCTTTTTGAAAAATGTCACTCAACTCCTCACTGCAATTATAGTTTCACATAACATTTGTTTAAGATTATTAAACGAGTTCGCTTGTCGAGCCCACGGGCCAAGCATCATCTAGCCCAAGCGCATTAATTAGCTCAAACTCAACTTGTCTGGTTATTAAACTTGGGCATCACATCCACAAAGAAGTCAAACTTGAGCTAGCTCAAATAAAAAATTAAAGGTGGCTCAACTACCTACATCTTAAGTCTGTACCCATTCAAATACAGAAAGCAAATAGTTTAACTATTTGGCGTCGGCCTTAGTATTGGATCAAAATTTGCTTAAAGATGCTAAATAAACATAATCATCATTATTCAAACTGTTTGACGTCAGCCTTACAAATGGCTATATGCTCAAAGCTCTTTTCATTCTTCTTGAGTACTACGCAGTAAGGTTCTTCTCTACAATGTAAGGCTGATAAGCTTAACGCACTTGATAAGCACTTTTTTATAGTTATGTATCACTTCTTCTAACAATATTGAACAATAATTATAAATTTCTATGCTACTTAAGTCTCCAATCGAATCATGGACCAAAAAAGTGATAATTACAAAAAGCTTAACCAAAATCATGGACCCGTGATCTTGGGCTCGTTGGATTCATCTCGTCAAGCCGCTTGATTTGACTATAAGCATGTTATGTTTGGAAACCGTTTGATAATCCAAATTGTGGTTCGAACTCTTCAACAGCGCTTCGGGCCCTTGATTTGGACTCATTTGGGCTCGGATTAAGTCAAATTTAGTGTTGTTGGGTTCGTATTTCTGAGACGTTCTGTTTGACTGTAAGTTTGCTGAAATCGGAGTTCGGATGGTCCTAATTTTAATGTTAGAAGTTTCCAAACTGATTTTGCCTCGAGATTCATGCCCGATCATGATACTTTTTTGATGATGTATCAAGTTTAATTGATTATTTTTTAGCGAGCTTACAATTCGATGTTTATCTATATTAAAGGCATTGAAGCTATTTGTAATTAATAAAGTTAAAAAGTCAAGAGTTCTGACCAAATGTAGTTTTTTTAATACAAGAAGTGATTATGCTCAAGGGAGCTATTTGTGTGACCCTCAAGGTCAATCTTCCAAAAATGAGAATGCAAATTTTACAATCCTAAAAAATATAAGTAATCAATTCTCTAACCATAGAATCTTCTCCATCAAGATTCAAATCATAATGATCATCGTACAATGAGGATTGAACATTATGTCTCTACTTCAAACTTCAGATTTAGTCAAGCTAAGAGGAATCTTAGTCATTTGATCCATTGATATTGATACAATTCATTCATATTGTCATGTTCTAACCATCATCAACTCCAATTTGAAAAGCTATTGTTTTGCTGCATCACCTTATGTGTTAGTAACACTTTGCTGTGCTCTGTCAGTCAAATGAACATTCGTATCTCGTGTCTTTAATATTTATATTTCTCATTAACATTTTTTATTGTTGTATTCCTTTCAGAGATTCCGGAGAACGAATATATAAATTATTTTGCCCCGGATTATTCTTTGAAGATTCAGAGCAGGAATATGGTAAGCCGTTGCTTTTACCTCCTTTAAGTTATCTATCAGTCATAAAAGTTGGTTCTCCTCGTTGTCTGGTTCTTCTGTCAGTCACTGAATCAGGTTTGATGAACCACTTTGGTGGATCACAAGATGGCAGCTATTTTATGAATATTTTTTGTACTTGAATTTCTTTGTTATCTTTAGCAGGAGAACCTGAATAGCAAATCGTATCTCAGATATATATATATATATATAACATCCTTTGGTACATTATTAGCATTTTTTAGCATGTGGCAACAAAGTTTTATCGTAATTCTGTGCACGGTTATTGATGTTATGTTCAAGATATAGACATTATTGTTTCAAAGCTCTTACCTTTTACAACTTTTTGCAGGTTCCTCCAGACTTTTATATCCCTGATTTTGACGATGATGAGCTGAACCCAGATGAACGTGTGAGCCGTAAGTGGAATAGTTTCAATCATAGTAATTTCTTTCGAATTCTCCCATTTGGTACACCTCATTTCATCTTTAAACGCTTTCTTGGTTGACGATAAGCTAATGTAGCTTAGGCAAAATTACCCAATGACTGAATGTATTAATCCACTGCATTGTTTAAAATTGCGCAATATGTGACTTGTCTCAACGTAATTCCAGTAAAGTACGCCTCGAGGTTTATGCCTCGAACTTTTTTTATGAGGCTTACGCCTCATCTTGGATGAGGCCCGTCTCATCTTGGATGAGGCCCGCCTTGAGGTGAACCTCGCCTCGCTTGCATGAGGCTTACGTCTCACTTTATTTATGTATATTTTTTTTTATTTGAAACTTATCTAAATCCTATACAAAAGCCCCAAAAAAATCACGCCTTGCACCCCCAAGCCACAACAACTTCCTCTCAATTGCCTTCACCATAGTCACCATCGTCGTATCCGCCGCAGGGGATCTCTAGAAAGCCGCACGTCACCACCATCTCCTCTTAAAATTTTAGAGTATTATTTTTATGTTGATGACAAATATTTATAAAATATGAAGTGACTGAGATAAATGAAGAAGAAGCAAATTGCCAGGTGTTGGACCCTATAAGATGAGGCAGGGAAAATAACAATTTATTATGACACTGACTCATAAAAATTCCCTTAGTAATGATAGTGCATATGCTTTTTTGAGTTATTGTCAATTATTTCAACTTTTTTTAATAATTTAATGTAGATGAGTAGGACATTGAGAAAGAAAACAATTAGGGCTGAACTTGATGTTATATGATATTTTTTATGTAATTCATATATTTTATGTTATTTTATTCTTGTAATATTTGGATTTGAATTCTATTACACATAATTGATCACTCACCACTCTTCATTTTATACAATTTTTTATTTCATATGTATGCATATTTGTTACTTCATATTTCAATAAAAAGTTAATATAACATATTATTTGGATATTATATAAAAAATCATATTTAATTTTTATTTCGACTTTACGCAATTTTTAGATTTTGGGGCTTATGCCTCGCCTCATGAATGAAAAACGTCTCAATACAGAATTACGCAATTTTCAACCTGATCCACCGGTTAAACCCAACTTTTGATTTCTGTTAAGAACATTGAATACAACGAAGATCCACTTGAGCAAATGTTATACCCTTAGTTTTGATGTGACAAAGGAAGCTTGAAAAATTAGGTTTGTTAGACAACCTTCCCTACTTATGCACATTGCATTTTTCTCTTTTTGTTAGTATTCTCCAACACAAGCTGTTATGCAGCTCTAGCTCTAATTCATAACAAGAGAGGTTGCCTGGCTTGTGCAATAATTACCTTGGTTTACCTAAGACCAAAAAAGGCATATAGCCTATTCACTTGTAGGAAATTTGACCAATTTTTCTCCTATTTGCAGTCTGGTTATGAGCCCCAACAGTTTGTTAAAAGTCTTTCATTTACCTTATTGTTGCACTTCATAATTCATCTAAATTTGATAAAATAGGCTTTTGGTAAGGTGCATTTTTTTAATCTTTTAAAATAGTTGTATTTCTTAGAAGGTTAAGAAGATTTTTCTTATTATTTCCCTTAATCTTTTGATGCACAAATTAATCATATTTTAAATGTTTTCAGAGCACGCTCAGGACAAGCAAATTCAGCGCGAGGACGAGTATTACGCCGGCGAAAATGACAATGATCATAATGCTTAGCAAGGCATGTAATTTTTTATTTTCATTTCTCAAAATTTAGCTATTTTTTGTGTTCTTGATATTGTTTTCTTGCTGGGAAGAAACTCAAATAGAATCTATTCCACTTGTTCTATATTTTTGTCTTTTAGGGTTTTTTCAAATGAAGAATAAATGTGTGTGATTCTTCTACCTCATTCACCTTCAGCCACCTTCTCCATGACATTTGAGACCTGATTCATCCTGTAAGCTACATGTTATGAATGCCATTTATTGTAAATTCTGCAACTAAACTGAAAAAAGGTCACTGAAATTGATTTTTGATTCTATTTGGTCAGCAACATTAGTAAGTATTATATTCAATTTCTTTGCATTTCAATTTTTTGGTCTCTGATTTGGAGTATAAGAAATAGATTTGGAGTATAAGAAATATGAAGTATTATAAATATTGTTGTTTCAGTCTTCATAATACATGTATTCTTTTCTGCATTATTCACAGTGCATTGTATGATGTGGCGCTTCCTCATTTGTCTTCAGATGCTTTCGGTGTCTGCATGTAATAATCTCTCCTTCAATTGATAGAAAAAAATGATGATAAGTTGTAGTTTAGTAGTAGTTAGATCACTAGTGAGCGATTCGGTCTCAATGATGAGAAGCTTTAGATTAATTTTAGGGATCATTGTCAAGTCATATGTAAGTGGATGGGTAGAAATTTCTACAAAGTTCAAAATTCGAGAATATTTCAATGAGAGGAATTGAATTTGGATCAATTTATAGATTTAGGTTTTTTTGGTCTCTGATTTGGAGTATAAGAAATATGAAGTATTATAAATATTGTTGTTTCTTTTTATTTATATATTTAAGATGCTTCTGCATTATTCACAGTGCATTGTATGATGTGGCGCTTCCTCATTTGTCTTCAGATGCTTTCGGTGTCTGCATGTAATAATCTCTCCTTCAATTGATAGAAAAAAATGATGATAAGTTGTAGTTTAGTAGTAGTTAGATCACTAGTGAGCGATTCGGTCTCAATGATGAGAAGCTTTAGATTAATTTTAGGGATCATTGTCAAGTCATATGTAAGTGGATGGGTAGAAATTTCTACAAAGTTCAAAATTCGAGAATATTTCAATGAGAGGAATTGAATTTGGATCAATTTATAGATTTAGGTTTCTTTTGGGATAGTTTTTTTTGCTACTTCTTAAAACAACTTTCTAATACAAAAATAAAAAATTTTGTACTAGAAAGCTGCTTTAAGAAGCAATGAAAAAATTGTCCTAAATGAAGTCTTAGGCTTCGTTTGGGACAACTTTTTATCATTAGTTTTTTGTTGTATTAAAAAAAATTGTACTAGAAAGTTGATTTAGAAAATAATAAGAAAACTATCACAAATAAAGCAGCTATTTGGCTTGAATAAAAAGAGTTTGAAATATTTCAAAATATAGGAATTTTAAAAATATTGGTGTTTAGATTGAAGTAAAATAAAATTTCAAAGTATTTGAAATTCAACATTATCTTGTGTTATTTTTTTTGTGTAGGTAGAAATTGCTAAATTTGCGTAATTTGCAAATATATTGTCAACTCTTTGCCATTGTGGCCATTATCATCATCAATCATTATTCGGGATTTTTTTTCAGTCAATCAAATGACCCCTTAGATAGCCTAGTTTGGTCATATTATGTCGCAATTTTTATTTATACCTAAACTCGGCGGTGGAGAGTAGCCATCTCATAATAAAAAAATTATACAATTTCATATTTGATGGGTCATAGCCTTGGGTCAACCAACCTCTTTGCTTGGACCTAGCAAGCCTAATTTGATGATGATGATCCTAGTTTGTTGTTTTTAGTTGATAATTTAGGATATCATGTTGTTGGTGATGTTTTGAGTAAATTGTGGTGAATGATAGAAGTTTCATGAGATTATTTGTATCATGAAGGATCAAAGTCTCCAACATATTCATGTTTAATAATGTTAATATCTTTACTTATTTTTTTATTGTTGAGTAAATGTATGAACTAAAGAATAATTTTGTTGGAAATTTATAGATTAGTATTTTTTGAGTATGTGCATCAATAAGAAAACAAAAACTATTATCACACCTTTATTCACACACAATAAGTTGGTCATTTTTTTTGTACATAACATCTTCAAATTCTTGACCAACATACAATTTATAGAACCATCAATTTTATAATGTAATATTATGCAATTTATTATCTCTACATCATCATCATCATAATATCTTGATTCACTAGATATTAATAGAAAATGATTTTCTCTATTTTAATATTTTTATTGCCTAATTTGTTGTAAGTCTCATATGATGTAATTTGTATATAACATGCAAGAAATTATCTATGTTAATTTTCAAATTGTTATGATAAGATTGAGAATCAGCCCCTTATACTAATAATGTTGAAAATACCATCATAATAGGTGTTAGTCCAATTTTATATGGATAAAAAGTAAAACAACATCAACAACAACAACAACATTAAATTTTTATCCCACTTCATGGATCAATATGAGTTGTTTTTCTCCATTCTGTCCTTTTAAGAGTCAATTTTTTACTTAAAATTAATAATAAAAGTTATTTCCTAATATTTTTAAGCAAATCTTTTTAAGTCTACCTCATCTACTCTCCTAACTAGTCATCATAATGTTGGTATTTTATATAATCAAATCTTTTAAGATGACTCTCTCTAATTTCATCTGTAATTGAAGTTACGTTAACCTTTTCACGTATATATACAACAAGATCATCAATGAAAAATTTAGGTTTATGTTGATAATAAATCTAGTTCAACTTGTACTTATTATTTATATTCATCTTGTCAAATAAAACATGTGGATCAAAGAAAGATAAAGAATAATCCAAGCACTTTAATGGTCTTCCAATGAAATGGTAGCCTACATGAATTTCAATCATGTCAAAGGAGAGGTAGAATTATTGTAGCTTTTGAGTTGAATATTAAGGGAGGTAAAGCTTCATTGAGCAAGAAAAAGCCTATATATAAGAGTACAATAATAAAAAATCTTCTAACATTGATCATTATATTTGCACATTAATAATTGTCTTAGTTTGCAAGATATTGAAAATTTTTGGAATCTAATTGTTATAAGTATTAAAATATTGAGTAAAATTTTTCTTATACAATAATTCAAAATCATGTAACGTAAGAAAATATAAAAAATATCATAGTATCAAGACATTGAAATATATTTATATTATTAATATTAAATTTTTTTAAGAGTAAAATATTTTCTTATATATAAGTAAAACACTAGCTCTTATATCTTTAATCTTTTTAACACAATAGAACTCAAAGATATTTTATAAAAAAATTACTCAATAAAAAAAATAAATACTTATCATAGAGCTAAAAAAAGGAATTTACAAACATAATGCATAATATTTATGTATATATATCTAGCAAATAAATGATAATATTTCTTAGAATATCAAAGTAAAATTTTGATCACATAAAAATATTATCAAACATTATTTTCTTAAACAAAATATATATTTTATTGTATACATTTTATATAATAAAATAATATATATAATAAATATTGAAAATTAAACATTACATACATAAATATAAAATTATATGATTTGTATGTAGCTCCAAAAAGGAACGCTGTAAATCATGCGAGTCTCTGCGTCCTACGCGCGTCTATCCTTCGAATTCTTTCTCCCCTATCAGAGCAGAGAGAGATGCTCGTAAAAGACCATGCAACCTGCTCCCACTCGGCTCTTCTCCCACCGTTCTTAGCTCCTCCTCCTCTTCCTCGCCGTCGCAGTGCCAGCAAAACCATCGCTTCACATCCCATCCTCCCTCCCACCCATTCACTTCCCATTAATGGCTTTATCGCTGCTCACCAATCCCAGCGCCGCTCCTTCTTCAAAGCCAAAGCTTTCTATCCCTCCTCGCCACTACACCGTCCGGGCGATGCGGATGCCCAAAACTATTGATAAATGCCTGAGAGAACCCCTTTCGCCTGGACCATCCTCATGTCGGGCTACGCCCTGCACGGCCGGCCGATTGAGGCCTACCTCTTCCGAGCCTCTTTGCGCGTGGCCTTGCGCCCGGACTCCTTTGATATATCTATCATTCTTCGAATATGGCTTCTCCTTTGCTGGCCAAATCACGGCAAAGAGCTACATTGCTTTGGTTTGAAGTCGGTTATCTTGAGACTTGTTTAGCGAATGGGCTCGTGACAATGTACGCCAGTTGTGATTGCTTCGCTTCTCTAGAGTAGTTCTTGGGGAATTAGAAAGCCTGATTTGTCTCCTGGGTCTGTATCCTTACAGGTTTGTGAAAGAATGGGCATGAAGATGAGCTTTTGATGCTTTGATGCATTTGGAACATATGGCGGGCTGGAATCTCGTTTGATGCTTATGTTCTCCCATTGGTTTGAGGCTTCTGCGAACTTGAACTGTGTTTGGTCTGGAAAACAGATTCATTGTGTTTGGTGAGAGTACGTTTGATTCACATTGCCTTTTAGGAGACTCTCTAATGGATGCTTATGGTTGAGTGGGAGCTGGGTTTGATGAGGAGGGGGATGATTCTTGAAGATGGTTGAGAGGATCTGGTTTCATGGAACACCATGATCTCATGCTATGCTTGCAGTCTCTTCGATGCGGAAGCTCACATGTTATTTCATGAAATGATCAAAAGAGGTTTGTTTGTGATGATTTCACTTTGGGCAGCGTCCTTCAAGCTGGACAACCAGGTGCTCTGTCATGCAAGGAAATCATGGTTTTGCGATCCGAGCTGGTTTGAATTCAATTGCCACATGAATATGCTCTTCTTGACCATGTACATCAAATGCAGTAATTGTGATCTTGCAATGCCTGCAAATGCTATGATACCACTTAGCTTTCATTTTCTTCCAATCTATAGTTCAGAGTTGATGATTTTATCATTGCAAGCATTTTTGAAATTTTGCGCTTCGCAGAACTGATTTGGAAACAGGAAATAGCCATTCACTCTTTGATTTTGAAACTTGGGATGAATTCGGAGCCGTTTGTAATAAGCTCGCTGATTGATGTGTAGCTGTTGGGAAATTTCTTATAAGTGGGCCCATATATTATACATATAAATTCATTTATACATTAGTTGCTATCGAAATTAAGCCAATTAAATTCGTATCTATTTAATTATTAAATTATTATTTGGCTTATGTGGTCTTCATTTAAATTTTTGTATGGAATTTAAATTTGTTGTTAGAGGCCAGGTATTTATTATTTTAATGATGGGCTGAAATAAAATATTTACACTTTAAGTATATAAGGGTCGTGTCCCCAGTTTATGGTGAAGTTCTCATTTCCCTCATTTCCCATCTTGAGTGAAAAG